CCTCTTCCTAAAGATCATCTGCGTACTGCATCGAAAGTATCTGTCTTATGCGAGAGTACAATCACGTTTTGCCTACTCCAGAAAAGCGGTTATTGAAGCCTCGATGATGCTTCTCAAGCACCAAGCGACCTTGCACCGGGAATGCCAGGCCGGCGGTCGGTTGCGCAATGTTAAATGGTTCATCTCATCGCTGACCACTGTCGACTTCCTTCTTGCAGCGATGATCATCTCCTCTGATCTCTACCACACTGCTAGGGAAGCGCCATCTCGATCTCCACCGTCAGGAGACACACTCGTGTGGAGTTCAGATCGTTGCGAGGAGATGCTCGAAGCTATAGAGATAGCGGTGGGCATCTGGGATGGTCTGAAAGATCACTCCATGGAAGCGTACAAAGCGCACACCACGCTCAGTGTCATGCTGGATCAACTCAAGAAGAACCGGGTAGCCAAACAGACGCCCAATGGCTTCCAAGCAGCTACATCCGCATACCCGACAATGGCACCAATGGAAGACGCCAATGTAGCACCTGAACATTCGGCAGCGATGACACTGGGCCTACTCAGCACAGGCGGCATGACGCCCAATGCCAACATGTTCGATCAGCGATACCCTGCCGGTATGGCGAATCTACTAAACGACCCTATGCCTCAGCCGTCGACGGGCTTGACACCACAATACAACCAGCCGACAAGCGGACCATCAGGGCCAGAGAATGCACCAAGTCCGTTCTCAAACCTGTTCGGAGCGAATCTGTTCCAAAATCTAGATCTCCCGCCGACAGACAACATCAACTGGGTTCGTCGTCATCACAATCCCGCGATTAACACTCGGCTAACATGACTAGGACGCATGGGACTCGTACATCCAAGGCCCCAACCCTGGCATGGAAGCGACCAACAACTTCTTCCCCATGGATCTTGGTAGCATGCCTATGCAAACAGAGCAAAGCGGGATGCCAGCCACTGGACAGACACCGAACCAGCAACCTATCCAAGGCAACCGAGCAAACATGTTCGGGCAGGATGTCTACATGGGCGTAAGTACTGATGACCACGATTCATTGCATGTTATTGATAGCTGACAGCAACAAGGCTGATTCCACAAAGACGAACTCTGGTGAAGCTTATACCATGGGGTTTCTGATGCCGAAGCAGTCTAACTAGTACTTCGCGCTCTTACGTTGTTTGCGAGCGGGTAATGAGCCTATGATTATGTAACTTGAGCGCCGTTTGTATTTGCATGACTTGTACTTTCGGGGGCCGAAGCTTGGTGGTGTTACTAGATACCCGTTAGCTATTGGATGTACAAAAGGGCGGGAGGAAGGAGGCGCAGCAAGCCATGTGCCCCGCGCTGCGATGGCAAACATGAATGAACTCAGCTCAGCCTTTGCGCTTGTTTCAAATCCCCACATATACCCAGATTTTTCACATCTTCTTTGCCAACTAAAATCTTCTTGACCTGCCTTGTGGCGTACTCGCCCACTTCGTATCCCGATATAGCCCGCGACGATCAAGGTCCATACCAAGACATCCACCCCGGCCAGCTGCCGCGCCGCGTTGCTGCCCCACTTGAACCGCTGGACCCTGAATTGCCGGCGCGTGGGCTGTCAAACGTCATCGCGGTCACGACTTGCTTACGCGCTCGCGGGCTTTTGTTTGGCCGTGAGGCTGCCAAAGGCGGGCTGCCTGAGGCTTGGGTTGCACAAGAGGCTGCTGTGCCGCCTACGTACGTCTGCGACATCTGCTTGTCACGCACCTTACCTTTCGACATACAGACTTCAGAGCGACGCGACGAGGCTGAGAAGTACGCATCACATTACTACTACCAACAACCCTTTACCAAGACCTCTTCATATCTGAGCTACCAACATTACGACTCTCTCCACCATCCTCACAATGACAAACCCACCACCCACCATCTCCCCTCCCCCCCTCACCACAACCTCCTCTCCTCCCACTTCCGACCCCATCTCCCCCGTCTCCCGCACCTCTACCTTTCCGCATAAGACTAGTCCAGCAGTCTCCAGCCAAACTCCGTTGATCGACACGAATACACCTGCGATAAACGATGCGCCGGTCGAGTTGGATGGCGGCGCGATAACGCCTGAGGAGCTGAGGAGGCGTATGAGTACAGCGGGGGAAGTAGGTGGTATGGGAGATGGTTTGGGGGGCTTGAGGGGCTCGATGCGGTCGCCGGATGATAGCGAGGGAATTGATGCGGAGTTTTTGGGGGAGGGCGTGGGGGCGGGGAGGGGGGTTAGGGAGGTGTGTTTACAATCCTCTCCATTTCAGCAGGAAACGCAGATGCGCGATCGTGCCTGAGGGATGGCTTGTGAGAGGGTTAGAGCACTGGGCTGACATACTACAGAAACGCGCAGCGATGCTTGCGTCACGCTCGAAAGACCCCAGCGTTATCGTCGATATACCGCAGGAGCCTACGGCCGAGGAGGTGGATGCTGCGAGGAAGGCGGATGCGCTGTTGCCGCCGGGGATGAGGGGGAAGATACCAGAGGTGTGATGATAGATGCCCGCATACGATCTGAGGGGAAGATATAGCGACGGGCTGTATAAATGAGTGATAACAAATGAGTGGTAACGGACCGGAACTTACATGAGCGGGATAGCACTTGGATTTGGTCACTTGCAATCGCTACATGACAGCTTGCTGCTGAGGATTTTCGACATAGCAATGCGTACCATGTCTTCACATCGATACCTCTTTGAACATTTTGTCCAGTGCACTTTTGCACGTGCACACCTCCCGGAAGTGTCTATATAAGACCTCCTACGTTCTCACTCTCTCCTTCCTTTCTACAAAACAATTCCTAAATTCCCATTACCAAAATTCACTCGCACCTTCTCCATGTCCGCCGCTCGGTCTGCCCTTCTCAAAACAACCCTCGGTGGATGCCATGTCCCGCCTTCCTCTCCATATTTTCTACAAACTTCCAAAAAGACTCCGGAAGTTGCGATGAGTTCGCCGGCGGACTACATATCGAAAACACGGAACGTTTTCTCCATGCGACAGCGACTGTTCTGAACGAAGTTACAAAACGCGGAGACTCTATACCGCATGTGCTGCTTCCAAAATCGCACTACCATCGTCGCATGTTGTTTGCCCGGCGCTAAAGCACCCCGACTACCTAACGCTTCCGCCTACAAAAGCCACGTCCTGCACAGTAGGACCTCTGCTCACCACTCCTCTCCAACACTCTTCGCATTTCATCAAAAGTATCTGTCCACCGCTACATGTCTGCTGTCTCCTCTGGCACCAGAAACAGCTCGTGAGGGAGTACATGTTTCGGCTGCGCTGTTGTGTCTTTGTGGACGGCTAAAATTACCATATCCAAAAGCTCATTGTTGTTTGCATTCGATTAAACAAGACAACGATTGTTGTGATGTTGGGAAGAAGACCACCGAATCTGACAAAAATATGGTATTCGCACCCGTCATGTAAAATTCTCTCGCCTCTGAGGTTATTCACTCCAAACTTGGTATCACTCTGCGCATGATCTATCCTGACGCCGAGCGCAAAAATGTCACAAAACCAAACATGCCTTCCTCATGCATGGGTACTGGGGCTAGGAAAAGAACACGATGGACCAAGCTTACGCCTAGAGGTCACTACATAAATATATTTTCCGTGCTTCCGGACTCTCCTTCTTCAACTTCTTCACCATCATTCGACACCAAAATACCTAGAAGTCAAGGTTATGTTGCCGACTCAGATTCCACCAAAAGAACACACTAAACGGCTATATGGCTTTTTGCTTCGTCCAAAATTTCATTCAAACCCAACATGTCCTCCGAGCAACTCAGCCGTAAGTCTCGAGTGTCGGCGCTTCAATTTACCACTGAAAGGGCGGATGCTTTACGCTCATGGCTCGGCTCTGCTGTCAGAAGCCTTGATAGACTGGGATATGCTGCCCAGTGTTCAAAACTTCAACAGGAGATCATTTTGAGCTCGAAGTATCCTGGTTCTCAATACCCAGTTTTCCGCGCTCAAAACTGGATGTTCGGCCGTATATGTCGCTTGGACTGTCAAAGCGCTCATCGGCACGTATATAAGTCGTGCGTTCATGACCGTACTTCCTTCCTCGTTCATCACAGCTTCCGCTTTCCATACCGAAAGAACGTGTGGCAGTTGCCATGTCTTTCGATTCTTCCGCCCTTCTAGATATTACCTTCTCTTCAGTCTTATGGTGTTGTCTCGTTGAGTTGCAAATCTTGAAATGCGCAAAAGGACTGCTGGGAGGACATGGTCGGAGCAGAGAAACCCAAAACTACAACACAAAATCTCCATGAGTCTTCGAAAGCTTCTCTGGACTAGTTTCATTTCCCTCGGACTTTGTGATTAACCTGAAGTGACTGCATTGTGCGGACGAAGAGTACTCAAAACACATCAGAACTAGTACATGCGTTTACTACTACAGTTAAGCACGTATTTTAAATTTATTAAGTTTATATTGCAAGTAATAGTATATATATATAAAGATAAGTATAAGGTATAGAGCTTCTATAGCCTACTTATAATTAAATAATAAATTTTATAAAGCTTAGCGCGCTAAGCTCTTAGCTAATATTTTAATATTTTTAATTTTTTACTAAAGAAATACTTTAGTACTATATATTATTAATATAACACTTATTTATAAACATTTATTAAAACTTTTATATATAAAGAGTTAGTACTAAAATACTTTTAATAGTACTACGTATACTAGGCGTAATATAAAAGCTTCTTAAGAATATTTTTTTATTTTCTAACACCTGCTTTGCCTACTATATTAGTAAGTACTTCTCTATCTCTATCTCTGTAGTTAAGCACCTACCTAGATTATAGTACGAATAAAGTAACTTCACTAGGAAGTCTCTCTAAGCTCGCAGCTTTGGCCGAAGTTCAAAAAACCCAGGTTGATGAGCCTCAGATCTAATATATACACTCAAACGAAAATAAAGAACGCCTTCACCAGCCCGACCCTCAGTAATCCTCGATAGTTCTATTTGCAGTTCGTCCCCTTGTACACGAACGTCCCATCCGAGTTCTCACACCCACAACTCCCATCCTTCGGACTCTTAATGCACCCCGCGCCATCTCCCTCCTCCTCTCCCTCAACCCCCGCCTTCGCCCAAAAGAACGTCCAAGTCCCCGCCTTCTTCTTCATCGCACTACCCGGCGCGCAGTTATACGCTTCACACGTGCCGTACGGGTACCCGTGGTTACCGTCGTACTGGTGGTCTTGGGTGAAGACGGCAAAGGTCTGGCCGGACGTGCGAGTGTTGTGACTGCATTCTGCGGCTTGGATGGCTTTGCTTGTTTTGATGGCTATGAGGGGGTTAGTTTATGGGAAGGCAAGGGTGGAAAGGTGTGAGAGCTTACGGGAGCAGGATGGGGCTGACGGGTAGCTGCCGTTTGTGTTGGAGGTTGCGGGGTCGAGTGTTGCGGTGACGGCTGTGGCCAGCATGAAGGCTGCTGCGATAGAGTAATTGGTGAACATCATTTTGATGTAGATGCTGGGTAACGAGCGTGTGGTGTTGTGAGTATGGGGTGAAGCGGGTTTGCTTGGCCACAGCGGTCGAGTATCTTATACAATACCCACCTCATTCTCATCCCCTGCCCCTTCCATCACGGCAATGTGTTTTTCCATTTACATGAGAAGGATGAGTTGATCCACACACCCACGTACCACCAATTACGCACTCTCAGGAAATTTGCGGTCTGGATGGTCTTGAAACGGACTAGACAGGGGTTGCGGGTGCGCAAAGCCACATCACATCTTCACATAGAGTGGAGGTGCATCGGATGTTTCGTGCCGCCAACGGGCCGAGCCTACTAATCTTTAATTCCTACATACTGGTTTCGGTGCTGCGACATGCTGCTGCGTGGATGTATTCAAGCAGCCACAGGCCTCGCACGTCAAACTCGCGGCGTCAACGTCGTCTTCAAACTCGGAAACATGATCGGCACTCGACTTAAGGGTACTATCACATCGCCTTGCCTATGATAGGTTGCTCCCAGCTGAACATGGCTTATCCTGCACGGCATTAGTAATACGCGCCCTTCAGCATTACACACACACTTCTCTCTTCCTACAAAAAGGCCTTGATCGAGGCCGTCGCAGTAGGCATTAGCTCAAAGACACGCGAGGAAATCCAGTCTCCCAACTTGCCTCGATTTCGTACAGCCTACCCATACTCAAAACGAGCTAGCGCCAACATGTATAAAAGCCCTCGTGCTCGCAGCCGAAGCTCGAACGGCGTATGTCCGCGATATACCGCAGCCGGTACCTTCACCAACCGAGTTGCTTATCCGGTTAAGAGCCATAGCGCTCAACCCTGTTGACCCACTATACGATGCGCATCCACTGGGCATCTCCGGGCGCACCGTTAGAAGCGACTTCGCTGGAGTCGTAGTCGAAGCAGGTTGCGATGTGCCCGGGGAGGCGAACCTTTGCGTCGGTGATGAAGTCGGAGGATCTTTGCAAGGAGCTTGCAGCGTCAATGACCGTCTAGGTGCATTCGCAGAACTTGTTGTCGCACCGTGGGATCTAGTCTGGACAGTCCCTAAGCCAGTCACCATGAAGCAGGCTGCTGGTGTGAGTCTCGTAGCCCTCACGGCCGCGCAAGCGATATGGTACCGGCTGGGCCTGCGAGCTCCGTTTGCTTACAATCGCGACCAAGTCTTTCAAGAGCACCCAAACTGGAGAGCCACATACGACCGAACAGATGGACCTGGTACAATCAACGTCCTCGTCTACGGCGCATCGACATCAGTGGCACTATATACCGCGCAGATGGTACGACTCAGCGCCAGATCTAGCGGCAAAGCTATTAGATTATAAGGCGTCGCTAGCGAAGCTCGTTAGGATTTTCTTAAAACAGAGCCCTACGGGTATGCCGCTTTTGTGGACTATCGCGACCTCTATTAGTCAGAGCGGATCAAAAAGCTCACAGGCAGGTGGTGCGTCCTCTGGTACTTTATCCTGTAGGCTTCTAAGATCTAACCATCCTAGGCTGAATTAGAGGGCCTGTAGTCAAACATGTGTGTACACAGCAATATGTTTCTTGACCGACACCAGGGCTGAGACCAATACTGCGGTGGCATTCGCGCTTCTACGCCGCTTCAGCCCATCATCATCGTCGCTTGCTGCAGATCGTTCCACAATCACAATCGCATCCGTCGCATAGCGAGATGAAAACCGCTACTGTGCAGGGCAGTGGAGCAATCCCACAGGCTGGGAGTTCGCATCGTCCTGTTCTGAACCTACTCACTACACCAAGTTACGCCTCTTAAGATTCCAGGCGTAAAAGTCAACGTATCGACGAGATAAGTGGCGCATCCCTTGCTCTTGTAATGGACCGTGATTGCTGAAGTCGACTCCACCAACAGTATGGTGGCTTCTGACATCAGCAGCACTGAGCGACAGGCTCGTCACAATCGCGTCAGAGAGATCTGTATGGTAGACCCTTCATCAAGCCGATCAGTCAATCGGAGACGGTATTGGAAAGACCCGAGCAGTCTTCCAGGTGAGGACATTGTGGCGCCGTACAATAGGACATCGTGGGATGGGTAAGCCGGTACGGCGCGGCTCTGCGATCGGGAAGGATGTTCCAGGCCGATGCAGCTTCCGGGAACCGAGATACGGCGTAGACATCAGTTGATGAAGGCGTAGCGAGCGGCACGATGTGATGTGATGTGATGTTGAAGGTTGCACGACAGCTGCGCAGATGCTGGCGCAGCGGTTCTCCCCATGCCGCTAACCGGATTCGCCGTGTGCCCCATATCCACGTCATCATTGGTTGAGTCCGCGGTCTTCGGTTTGTCCCAGCAAGCAGGCAAAAGGTTTGCGCAATACATAGTAGTTCGCTGATGATACATGGATCAGATGTTCTTTTTAGTCGGAAAGCTTGCTTCAAAAGCACAGTTGGTTCCAGCACAGCGAGAATCGCAGTTTTAGCCAAAACCACCAGAGACGCCGCTTCCAATTTATACCAACACTTCACCCACATTGCCATCCAAAGATAAAATACGCGTCTGAATCAGCCTGGGAGCTGCTCAACTACTGCGGTTCCGTCCACCCCTCCTCCCTCCCAACCACCTCCTCAACCTCCTTAACCACCTCCTTCAACGGCTTCAAAATCCTCCTCTGATAAATCACCACCATGCACTCCACATCCCACATCTCCAACTCCCCGTTCTTAGCCCCCTTGTATTTGCCCAATAGCCCAAGCCCCTCCGCAACATCCGCAACAGGCCCCTGCGCCGACCTAAACTTCTGCACCGCTCGTGACCCATCTTGATAAACACCCTGGCTCTTCTTTACAAACAACTCGATAGCCTTTCCCCGCTCGATCAGCGACATCAACCCCAAGTCGTGGAATACCTCCACTTGTGCGTCGATATGCGACTTCACGGTTTTTAGCAGCGTCAAAGTTTGGTTGGCGTCAGAGCGTGTCATGACGGTGCCGTAAATGTTTGTTACTTGGCGGGCAAGTCGTTTCTGTAGCTGGAGATGATGTTTCTTTGATGCTAGAGTTTCGAAATCGGGTTCGGAGTCGTAGGCGAAGTCGGTTTGGGGTGCGGTGGCGTTGGCCATGCGGCCTTTGAGGTAGAAGGATGTGAAGCCTGGCATTGTGGGTGGAATATGGATTGAGGTTTGGGTGGTGCGGTGGTTGATGGATGAAAGTCGTATGGTGGTTTAGTGGTTGAGGAGAGCAAATGGGGTGAACGCTTGGTGAGGCTCAGAGACCGAGTCGTTATATAGATTGAGGGGAGCGTTAGTGGCAAGTATCGAGGTGCTGGTTCCTTGCTTGTTGCTTGCATGCAGCAGTGAGTTTGCGCTGTGCATGAACGACCGCGTACTTCGAGGTCACAGTGGTTTCCACTTCACAAGGAGTGAAAGTCATGAGATGGGGAATGAACGCAAAGATCTAGGTTGATCTTCTAGGCTTCGCTCTCGAGCTTTAAGTCTTCGTGGGATACTTCAGGTGTGTAGATGAGTGGGTTGGTAAGTCGATAACGGTGGTTTGCCAGGGCTGGTTCGTCGGAATGGTCGTCTCCATGCTCAACCATGGTAGCCAAGGAGATTTAGGTTGATGAGGCTATGGAACTGCAAAGAGTCAACGCTTACGATGGTAGTCAAAACTAAAGAGCAATGCATAACTAGGACATCATCATAACACATTGAGTTTACATACTCATTGTGTCCTCTCGACGTTGTCTACAACACCAGCACGTACAACTCCAGCCTTGCAGCCGCAGAGAGAACAGTCTTATCCCGCGATGAGGATGACGACCGCGAGAACCGCAGCTATACCGACGCCGGTTGCCGGTTCAATGGCGGCGATAATGCCGATTGCAAGGACGCTCACTGCCAGGCTATACTTTATGACAGGGTCAGAAGCTGCGTAAGGACATCCACGTGTATAACAGTTTGTAGTAACGCTGTCTACTGTCCAGTCGGCTGTAAGGGATGGGACAGTTTGGTGGCGGGGGTAGGCTAGACTCAATGCATGAAGTCTTTCCAGTCTGCGCCTGGACGCGCGCAGGGTGCTGCATTTACAGGCGGCTGTAGAGGAGTGGGCTGTTCTCATAGTGAAGTTGAGAAGTTTTGGAGTTGTCGTTGTGGGTGCTTGAAATCCGAATCAAATGTTGTGGACGGTATGAAAGACTAGACAAAAGAAGCAAATGTCAATGTTGCAGGCTGTTCACAGTGCAACTTCGCAGTATAGTGTAACTCAACGCCGATGAGGGGCGATACACGATGTTTGGTAGTACTTGGAAAGACGTACCAGGCCGTGATACCTGTAATCCCGCTTGGTATCGTTGTTAGCAGGTCAACTTGAGGCGTGGAAGGATGATGTTTCGACGTCACAATGTACAAAGTGAAGGAGTGGCGCATCTTGTCATTCTGGATCGAATGAAAGTTGAATGTATTGATGAGAAGCCCCAAGCAGCAAAACAATGCCGGGATAAGTGTCGCAAACGATTGCTCTTCGTCCCCGGTGAGGCTCAAAATGTGAAGTCACGTCCCCCCATACTTGCCCTTATTACCAACCTTGTGCTGTCGCTGTCGAAGCATGGGGGGATGTAATCTCAAATCAACCTTGGAAATACCGATGCTCTCCAGAGAAATTGGGTTGTTATACATGGCCAAATGGATTGAAACGGTTCAAGAACCGCCTGGGGGCGAACATGGAGCAATCCTGATGCGTTGACGGGCCGGTTATCTAGTTCTCTCGCGGCGTCATCCAAAAGGTGCATGCAACGGTACAGAAATCCAGGAGTGTACTATCGAAGCCGATCCTCTGTCCGAGAAGTCAGCTTTATGGGCCCGTGACCATCTTGTTCAACTTTTCCAACTCACGCATTTTGTTCAGCTCGTCCAGGATTAACTGGAGCTCGTCCTCGTCCATGTTCAGCGAGGGAATGAGGGTCGTGGCCTCTTCTGCGGTGTCCGGGGTAAGCGTTCCTAGCATGCTTGTCAGCACAATATCCATGCTCTTCCGACACTTGTATTACCCAGCAGCGCCTTCTCGACAACAGAGATCTCGGGGTGGGCATCGAAGAGGGCGGCGATCGAGTGCAGACTGTCTTCCTCCTTGTAGCGGGCGAAGTTGTCTAGGTAGTCGAGGAACTGTGTAATGGTTCTGCTACAGTCAGTCCTGGCTCTTTCCTTGACGCTCCCCATGTGTCGTGTCTTCTCGAGGCGACTCACATGCTGTCGTTGTATATCCTATCGCGTAGAGGGTTGTTCTCGGGGTCCTTCTTCTTCCGGGCCTCGTGAACGGCTGTCACGACGGCGCGCGCTTCGGAGACGGAGAGGGCGTGGACGTCTTCAAAGTCGCCCAGCTTGATCTCAGAGCCCATCTCCTCCTCTTGCTGCACTGGGGGCTTCGGGCGCGAAACTAGCCTCGGGGCCTTGAAGACGGGTGGCTCCTGCCTCTGAGGCGGCGCGTGCTCTCCCTCTCCTTCCATGACGAAGGGGTGTAAGGGTATGTGGTAGGCTGGTAAACGACGGTAGGCAACGGTATAGACGCGGTCGGTGAGTTGTGATGGTCTTTGTTGGATATGCGCAGGTTCTTCGGGCGGTGCGCGAGCTCGGTCCTGCTAGTAAAAGCGGCGGAGCTAGAGTGAGAGCGGGCGAGAGCGAGTGAGACTTGTAGGACGGCAGTGACGACGGGCGTGCCTTCCAACCACGAATAACAGCCTCACCAGATGGAAGTCGCGACTGTCGAGATCTCTATGCCAAGACTGTCCGAAGCGCTAGCAGCACCCATGAACCTTGAAACGAACAGCCTTCCCCGCCCGGCGCGCTGACTTTCATCGGCCTGCAGACGGCCTGCAGTGCGTTATGCTCCAGGAATAGCCTGCCATGTACCGAGGATGCTGAGGGAAATATCTCGTGTGTGCGCTGGACGTATAATATCTTGTGTAACGTCTTCACAACCCACCAGCTAGCCGCATGCGCACCGGCAGCGCAGAACAAGTGCATAATGGCATACTAATGCCGGCTCTCTTAGAGGGCTAAAATAAGCTCAAGGGGTCCCAAGGCGCCGATGCTGCTGCCGGCCATCTGCCTGTACATCGCAATCAGCGTGCACCAAAGCGGCTAGCGCTGTCTGCACCATGCAGTCCACTCCTCGAACATTGACCACAGCCGCAGTGACACAGGAACAACCACCAGCCTCACACCCCAAGCCGCCTCCTGCGAATTTTCCGCCAAGCGACCTCTGATTGCGCTTTTGCGAGTTGCATGTCCGGTGCTGCTGCCTCTTGCTACTTGCCTTGCCCGCCCTGACCGCGTTTCATCCACCGCTCAGGGTCCTCGTCCTATGCCCCCCATAGCACGCCGGGCCTAATTCACCACACTCCTCCTCCGCGGCGACCGCATGCCGTCCGAGTTGCTTTTGCGCCCATTGTACATAGCATCCCTTACACCCACCCCAGCCCGCCCTGCCAGACGCCGCGCATTGCTAGACAGAGCGCGCTCGCCAACGCATCGCCGCCCTTCTACCCTTGGCCACCTCCCCGGGTAGACCCACCGCGACTCGACACCCCTCGTCCGCGGCACCTCCTACCAACGCCGCAGCTCATCCGACAAACATACTCTGATAAACCCGTCCCTGCCACTTCTCGCCTCCCTGTCGCGCGCCCCTCCCACCTCGGCTACGCCACGCACCCGTTCCGGACCCTGCATCGAAGTGGAGGATTGTCGAAGCTGGCGTAACTGGACATGGGAACACCGGCGGAGGGACCGCCTCCGATGGATCACCAGGGCGCCCAGTCACAGTACAACTACGACCCGCGCAACAATGGCCTCTCCAGACGCGCCACCGACGAGGCGGCATCGTCGACCAACAGTCTTGCGCCCTACGACCGCACCAACTATCCCCCGCGATCGTCGACCGACCCGGGGGACCAGAACCAGCCCGTCGCCAAACCCAAGCGAAGTGGGAAGATATGTGGAAAGTGTGGGGAAGGCCTGACTGGACAATTTGTGCGAGCCTTGGGCGACACCTACCATTTGGAATGCTTTACTTGTCACGTAAGACACCCACGTTGTTTTCTGGATTGGAGGAGTTGGGCGTTCGCACGTCTCTTGATCTCTAGCGACGCGAGCGCGCGCATCGCTGTTCTGGATGGACTGCTCCAATTGTCTCGAGCGCCATAATTTTCTACATAGCATCTCTGATCACAGTGCTGACCTGCCTTCTAGGACTGCGGTAAAATCGTTGCCTCCAAGTTTTTCCCCGTACCCGACAAGCCACCCGGCCAGTACCCCCTCTGCGAAACCGACTATTTCCGACGTCTCGATCTGCTCTGCTTCGAGTGCGGGCAAGCCTTGCGCGGCTCCTACATCACAGCGCTAGACCGGAAATACCATATTGAGCACTTTACCTGTTCCGTGTGTCCTACCGTTTTCGGCGCCTCGGACAGCTACTACGAGCACGAGGGCAGCGTCTACTGTCACTACCACTACTCCACCAAATTCGCCCAGCGGTGTAACGGCTGTCAGACATCGATTTTGAAGCAGTTCGTCGAGATCTTCCGAAATGGGCAGAACCAGCACTGGCATCCGGAATGCTACATGATCCACAAGTACTGGAATGTCAGGCTTCATTCCACAGGCCAGCCTGTCATCGAGCGTCTGCAGGATGCCGATGGCGACGCGACAGATGAGGTGCGCGAGAGCGTCCGCCAACAGGAGGAAGAGATCGAAGCCAAGGTCAACTGGATCTGGAAGACCCTTTCGGCTTTCGAGGAAAAGTCCGCGACCTGCATCTCCGACATGCTCCTGCACGTCAGTAACGGTGCTTATGTCGACGGTGTCATGGCAGCCAAAAAGTTTATTGTGCACGTCGAGCTGCTTTTCGCGGCCGCCGACGCGCTCGATGCGCAATTGATCGTCAGGACACCCAAGGGATTGACCTATTCGCGCGAATCAAAGCTACTTTGTAAGAAAGTGGTAGCCTTCTTCGCGCTTCTTACCCAGTCCCAGGGTACTGGCGTGCGACGACTGGGCGTGACCCAAGAATTGCTGTCCCTGGTCACTGGCTTAGCCCACTATCTGAAGCTCCTCATTCGCATATGTCTGCAGGGTTCTCTAAAATTAGAGCGCGAGACCCGGAGCTCCACCGGTTTGACCAACTTCCTTACCCAAGTAAACTCACTCGATGCCCGGTTGGAGGACGAGGCCCAAAGAGACCAGGCGGCTGAGTCCGCGCGGCTTGTCCCAAGATGGGCTGACGCATGTCCAATATGCGATGCCCAGGTCGAAGACAAGTGTTTACATCTAAACAACATGTCGTACAACTACAGCTGTATGGTATGTCGCGGCTGCAATGCCGACTTGCGCCATAGCCCTCAGAGCGCCTATTGGAGTAAATCGAAGCGAAGCATTTTTTGCCCGGCATGTGCAGCAGCGCAGCCAGACGCTGAGAACGGTTTCGAGCAGGTCACCAAGCTGCGTCAATATGTGCACCTACTAAACGTGGCGCATGCGCGTCTTATGGCAACCCTACGATCCAGTGGCGCATTGCCACACACTTCAGGTAAGAATAACTCTCCGTAACAGATCACCTCGTCACCACTCATCTTGACACTCCGACTCAGATTTCTGGAGCCGCTTCCGAGATTACATTCGTCCCACTAATGACTTGTAGATGATCCCAACCTGGCAGGCTATGATTCCACACAGGGACATCGCCTTGGGGATGACCCGCCGCATTTGCGACCGGACACACGATCAAAGTCGTATGGAGGGACATCAGCAACAGACAGTCAAAACAGCAACAACGCCGCCTACGAGCAATCCATGTCTGATATCAAGCGCCTACGATCGACACGACTTGACAAGCACCTATCCAATACGATGAAACGTGCTCGCGCATCACGAATCATTGATGGTCCAGAGGGTCTCGAAGGAGAAGGACAAATGCGAGGAGGAATGCAAATCGTTCAGGAACGCGAGCTAGGAGGCGATGCCGACGCTGTAACACTCGCTGTGAACTCTCTCGCTTTAGACGACATTGCTCGCATGGCTGCGTTGGAGCAGCAACGAGAGCAACGTCCAAATGCATTCCGCGCTGGTGGAAGCGCACTACTGGGACGAGAAGATCAACCGAAGCTGCAGAATGGCCATCGTCGCGACTTCTCTGGCGCCCAGGATCTACAACAGATGACCGAGGGTCGTTCACGAACCTACTTTTCGGAGCTGTCGCCACTTGAATACTTCAAACTGAAGGGCCTTGCAGTACTCCAGCTTGGCCTTCTGCTCGACGACAATCAGTACAACCAGGGCGATTTGCTCGATCTCATCGAGTCGAAGAAAAACAACTTCTGGGGCAAGATCGGGTTCGGCAAAGCGTTCAAGGCCGACAAAAGCAAGCCGAAGAAGGGCGTTACAGGAGTCGAGAAGCCAGTTTCCGACAAAGCAACTTTCCGACAGTCGCTTGAGTACCTCGTGGAAAAGTATGGTGATGAGTGCACGGAAGGTGTAGGACCGGGCGCTCTCAAAGTTCCAGCTCTGCTTCAGGATTGTATCACTGCGATGAGAAGTATGGACATGTCCATCGAGGGTGTGTTCAGGAAGAACGGCAACCTCAAAGCTCTACGCGAACTTGAGGAAGAGATTGACGCCCATGGTGTTCAGAAGGTCGACCTGAATACTAAGAACCCGGTCATACTCGCCAACCTCCTGAAGCGCTTCCTCAGGTTGATGCCTGAGCCGGTATTGACATTGAAGCTATATAGGCTGTTCATGGTGGCTAATGGTAAGTCGCTTTATTCTACCCGTCGTGCTTGACTAACAGCAACAGACATTGAGGATGAGGCACAAAGAAAGAAAGTCTTGCATCTCGTGCTTTGCCTGCTACCCAAGGCCCACCGCGACACAATGGAAGTCCTGTTCTGCTTCCTCAACTGGGTTTCATCGTTCCACACGGTGGACGAAGAAACAGGCAACAAGATGGACACCTGGAATATCGCCACCGTTATGGCTCCCAACATTCTGCGAGAGAGCAACGACAAAGAAGTCAAGAGCGTGGATCAAGGCGCGGTCAAGGTCGTGTTTGATCTCATCGAAAACAACGATGAGTTCTCGGAGGTATGTTGCTCCGCCATACTACCAATCCACTTTCATACTAACGTCACCAGGTACCTCCCGAGATCATGGAACTACTCAGCGATGAAGTGTCGGACATGAGCGCGAAGGAAATCATGCGCCAATGGGAGCAGCGGGGGAAGAACCCTCTGTCAGCTCCTACGCCATCACCCAGAGACCAAACCGGCACAGCTTCCAGGAAAGACCAGCGCAATTCGCCTCAAGTTACGACGGCGGACAACAACCCCTCGGCTCAAGCTGGCGAAGCGTCCGTTCGCCAGATCCCCGGCGGGGGTGCTCAACCTATGGGCAGCAATCAGCACAGCCCCACACCAGGGTACGACCGAAATACACCCAACCCTGCATTCGCCCAGAATCCCCAAGCTTCTTCCGACGGCCACCGCACTGCATCGCCTCATCGGCACAGCTACCGCTCGCCCGGCTTCCAAAAACACACACAGATTGGCACCGCGGGCGCTGGATGAGACACGACGACTCTCTTTTTGGAACCCTACCCGGAGTACAAGGCGTTGATTGCATGCAACCATCTATGCATGGCTTGAGCGAAAAGCATTCAATGAGCGGCGAATTCTATTCTATACCCCTGGCCAGAGTCTACGTTATGACATCTAGACTGGCCCAGTCCATCTTCTCACGCATCGGCTTGGCATAAGTTTGACGAAACCTGTTTGATTGCATTGTAGGGCATCCTGCGCTTTGCGCGATGCGTTACTGGAAGGAACAACAACATTTTTTTGTTGCAGCATTGGTATGGGCGTTTTTCTGGGTAATCACATTGTGCCATATACGATCTTGGCATTGTTTACTGGTGGGCGCGACTATGCGCGTGCGAGTGCGGAGTGCTTTGTAGAGGTGGTGTTTGAGAGTGTGAAGAGTACTACGGATTGGGATGGGTGGACTTGCATGGCCGAGCTTGCATGGAAGCTGCGTAGGCTGCTGCAGTAGAAGTCGAGCCGATGGTGGAGATAATGTATGAAGTCGCGCGATGTAGTCTTCAAGGACTTACGACGCCTACTGTTGGTAGATGGCTTTAGAAGCCGGTGTAGGTATCTGATCATTCTCCCACTCTCTACGTCATCTTTTTTCTTGTTGTTTACGGTGCGAGGGACGCGCTTTCCTCCTCATCTTCACCGTGCTTGGCACATGCCGCTCGCTTGCACTCACTTTCATGAAGCTCCCCTCACGTCCTTTGCAGCGGAACATCACTTTACTGCATGTTTCTTTCCTTACCTCAATCTTCTCACGCAGGCGCCGCATTCGCTGCGTGCTGCCCAAGGTCATCGCTTCGCAGCACTACCTGCCTTATGGGAGGCTTCAGACGGTAGCTCTCTTCGCCCGCATCAGCCGGTGCTTGTACTTGTATCACGCGCACGATGGATCCCGCCACTACCAAGGTCATACTTGGGCTCCATCGCGAGGACCTGAACGCCGCCCTTCAGAGCCTGTCCAAGACCAGCCCTGACGACCGCGAAGGAGCCGCTTTCGCCGCGTTCCGCAATCAGCTACTGGGGGAGTGGAACAAATTACACGATGCAGTCTTTACGCTCATCATCGTTCGGGAGGACAGCGCTGTCCGAGAGGCCTTTACGCAGCACTCGGGTGAAGCGCAGCAGGTTGATCGTGAGTACAAGCGTTTTGATCATGGCACATGAGTCAATGCTGACACTATGAAGGCAACTACGAGATGGCTTGCAGCTTTGCAGGTCTGCCGGTGCCTCAACGCCCTGCGGTAACGAACGATCACGGAACACATAGAATCGCGGCAGATCAGCAGTCCGAAGGCGTGAACGGCAGGACGCTCGCTCAAGAAGCTCCCCGCTTCAGCTCCGTTGGGACGCAAACGGCACCTACCAAGACCAGGCCTCCTGTCGGAAACAGCTGGTGGCCAGCCTTGTCAATGAATAGTTTCAAGCGTTCGCGCGTTGAAGATGCGGATGATGAAGACAAGAACTCATTCACACCATACACGCATGAGTCTACACTCAAGAAACGGACCGCCTGCGTTGAGCCGACAGCACTTAGAGAGGAAGATGACGGGCGAACCAAGCGAACCAAGCTTGGATCAGAGGCCAGCACTACTCTTATCCATGCTACCGCCAATACCGCCTCGTCCAGCACAATCGGCAATGAAGATCATGGTCTCCCTGCAGCGGGATCCGGCACCATCATGTCCCGCAAATGCTCTGCATGCTTGGACATGCACCCCATCCGAGACACAATCCAGCTCCAATGCAAAAACACTGGTGACGCTGAGGCTCATGCATACTGCCGCGAATGTCTTATTCACCTCTTCGAAACTTGCATTACAGGTTCTTCGCAATTCCCACCGCGATGCTGTAACCAGATATTACCGGTCTTTGCCTGCATCCCGTATCTGCCGCCAGAGCTCTTCGCTCGATTTGTGGCCAAGAGAGAAGAACTGGAGACGCCAAACCGAACGTATTGCAGTAACGCTCTCTGCTCAAAATGGATCAGACCTGCCAACATCGTAGCAAACATCGCGACATGCCCGACATGCGTCCACAAAACCTGCGAGACTTGCAAACGTGGGCAACACGAAGGTCTTTGTCGAGACGATATGGCTGTGAAGAAGCTTATGGACGTGGCTAAAGAGAAGCAATGGCAGACTTGCCCCAATTGCAACGAGATGGTAGAGCTCAAGGGTGGCTGTCTTCACATCACGTACGTACCTACTTCCATGCGCGTCTGATACGTTTGACTGACTTTCTAGATGCCGCTGCCAACACCACTTCTGCTACCGGTGTCAGGCGCCATGGCGTACATGCAATTGCGGAAAGAATGCGCGCCGCATCGCTGATATACCAGTACCCGCCAACATTGCCGCCCCAAACGTCGTCAATCCTGCGAATATGGCACCGCCCGTACCAGCGTTCTTTGCTGCACCAATGGCCGCCAACAACGCTCCCTTCTACGTTGCAAACCCTGCTCACGTCGTACCTCCTGTCCCACCGTTTGGCTTTGCACCAGCTGTGTATGCCCCAGTACCGAGCGCTCCCGTCTTCCAGCCTCAACTGCATGCCCCAGTACAGTTTCAACCCTTCGGTCAGCATCTGCAGCAATACCATCCTCGAGCCGATGACCACGAGTTTAGGCGATTATATTGGAGCAAGGGCGTCGATACCACATGCGACAACTGCAGGCAACAGGACAGCTGGGTCCATGGCTGTAATTATAGAGGATGTGATGTGCGGGTTTGTCGGCGATGCACGAAGCGTCACTATCCCAACTCCACTGCAACCTGAAAGCCGGCTGCTATATTTCGGACGCAACACATGTCAGGCAGAGAATTTCAGTCCACATGTTATCCACAGATAGGTCGTGTACTTCCTGTGTAGATGGCTAGCTAGTTTAACGCACATGCATGGCACTCTCCAGAAAGCATGTATATAAATACAGCATAGCACAGCAGTTAGTTGTCATCGGATCTAAATTCCGCTCATGCAACACCCACTTCCCAAAAATCTACTTCTTCACAGCAACGACAAACAACCTCGGGTATCCCAAAAGCACCTTCCCATCCACCAACTCCGGATACTCGCCCTTCAGTCCCCTCTCATACTCCTCCAAAAACGCCTTCTTCGCCTCCTCCCCTTCAATCCTATTCAAATAAGGCTGCAACCCCGTCCCCTTGACCCACTCCACAATCGCGCCCGCATCCTTGAGCACATGCATGTACTTTGTCCTCCACACATTAACCAAACTCGCCTCCCCAACCAACGCATTATAAAACGCACTCGGCTCCTCAATAGGATCCAAATCCGGCCTTGTCGTATCCTTCAAATCCCCAATCTGCGTATCCGCGAAGGAGTCCGACCACGCTTTCCCTGCTTGCAACGCCGTCTCACGCATCATCCGGTGCGAGGGCTCGTGGTAGTTATCCGGGACCTGGATCGCTATTACGCTCCCGCTTTTCAGCGAGGAGAAGAGGCGCGCGAGCGTGGGTATGCGTTCGGAAGACCGGAGCCAGTGGAATACCGCGTTGCTGAAAAGTACATCTACCTCTCCATCTGCTTTGAACGTCGCTAGATCCCCTCGTGTGAAATCTACGCTGTCTTTCCCTTCGAATTCCGCGTTTGCCTTTTTCAACATGTCTGGGCTGCTGTCCATGCCTGTGATGCGCGCGGAGGGGAATGCATCGAGGAGGACTTTTGTACTATTTCCGGGTCCGCAACCTAGGTCGTAGATACGCGGGTTGGGTTTGTTGGTGATGTTGGGTTGGATTTGAGAGACGAGGTCGTAGACGGCGCGGAGGCGCTCGTTGTTGAATTTGAGGTATTGGGTTGCTGACCAGTCTTTTTTTGGTGGGGGTGCTGTTGACATTGTGGGGGATGAGGTGCTGAAGGGCTGGTGTTGTTGACTGTGATGGTTGTAGAGTCTGGGTTGGTTTGCTTTTCGTAATTGAGAATACGTGAGCGTGTGCCGTTGGTTAAATGGATACGATGTTGTGACGATGGTTGATAAACTGCGGATATGTATCCGCGGGTGGAGTGTGGCTGGGCGGGCCGATTGAAGGGTTCGCGAACTGCGGAGGAGTGAGGAGGACATCTGCGCAGAGTCTTTGCATCAACTGGGGATACGGCTGATGGCGCTTGAGTAATGCTTGAGGTGGTTAAGTATGTACAAGGCGTGACAAGCTCTTCGGAAAAGCGCCGTGCTGAGGGCTGGAAGCTCAGCTCAGCGAATCAGATTGCATGTGTGGGGTACGTGGCTAGCGGATGGGGTTAAGATCGGCGTATGTCCGGGGTGACGCATCACCGAAGAGGTCTACAGCTTGCTCTCTGTAGCCGGAAAAGACACTGTTGCAATTTCATGAAGCACGTTATCGCGGTGATCAAATTTTCAGTCGATTGATCATAGGAGAAGGCTGAATGTTGGACCCGGTATGTCTTGCTACCATACTTTACTTTCTACGTGAAAGGACACAAGGAAAGCTACCAACTCTGCAAGGCAAGTTGCTGAGTGCGCAAAGGCCCTAGAACCTTGGAGGCATCATCCCCGGGGGACCCATCTTGTCACCACCATGTTTACCTGCCGTGATCTCGGGATAAGCCGTGCTTCCATCGTCGTATTCGATCGGTTCTTCGTCGTTGTCTGGCACGCGCGCGCTGGTGCTGAATACCTTGACAGAGAGTGTCTTTTGGTCTGGGAACTTTACCCGTTCACCATTTTGCTAGAAGCACAAGTCAGTTTTGAAATCAGGCATGACGTGGGGTGAACTCACATCATAGACATTCCAGGTCAGCTTCTCGGTCAAGAAAGGCACCACGTCGCTGGGCTCCAGGCTCTTCAAACTCTTGTTCTCAATTTGCTCGACGAGATAAGGTGTGATACTTGTTGTACCGTTCATTAACTTCTCCGGTGTTGAGGGATCTTTCTCGGTGTGCACATCGTCGAGTCGCTCTGGCATCAACATCATCCAGCTTCCTACGTCGACAACTGGATCGGAGTTAAACATGCCGCCGAGCGAGTACTTGACGATGAACGATGGTGGAAGCCTGGAAGCGATCGCTTGTGTCTCGATAGTCCAATCCGTGTATGTGCCATTGTTGCCCTCGAGTGTTTCTCCGAATGGCGTTGGCTTGGTACTCATGACTGTGACTTTGCTCTGTGCGCGGGCGCGTCCACTATACATCCTTGCAATCTGCGCTGTGACATCTGCTTGATAGGCTTGGTCTGATGCGAACTTCCAGCGCTTCGTTTCCGGATAGGCATAGCCTAGAACAGTGGTGTTGCGACAGTCGTTAAAGGTCATGAATTTGCCGGGATCCTTTCTGAATGGGAGGAGTTCAGTGTTCGCGTCAACGTCTTGGTAGTCGTCGAGATAAACATTGCCGTGCGGTCCTATGCTTGACTTCTCCATCCAAAGATCGGGGTGCGCTCCCTGGTATAGTGCGAGTAGGCGGTCGACGTTGCTGACGGTCCGTTAGCTCATGTGATTCTAGGGATTAAGCGCACTTACGCATGATGTAACATGAAGAGGGGTTCATAAGACGAATACTCCAGCGGCCACATATGACCGGGGGTAGACGTGGTGGGATCGTAGCCACCGCCGATAACGCCGTGCATCCAACCATGCGGGTCTTCTAGTATACTAGAGAATCGCGAGAAAGTGCTCGCGCGGAAAGCAACACCAACCTGAGATATCAAATTGGTGGATTGGGCATTGAAGGCACTGACAAACATCGATTGTCGCGATGTCGCATTGGCGGTCGCGTCATTCGGCCATCGTATCGTCGAACTCATAGAGGCCCACTGCATGATAAATTAGAAATTTTGTACCTCGATGTTCCAAGATTGAGATCGCTTACCTTTTGATCAAAGCCAGCGGGTATGGGGTTGAACTTGTAGGAATACAGCGGATTTGACACTACTGTTAGACTGCCGTCCGTATCCGTCACCGCTATATTGGGGGCTGTAAAGAAGTCGGGAACAGGGCCAATGGTGGTACCTTGGGCCCAGTCCCAATAAGGTATGCGGAATTCATTTGCTGCCTTGAGATACCGTTCGATCTGATCGGCGGGTGCCTTTTTAGCGATATCGTAGACATGGCTTGACAGTGATTGCTACAATGAGTCAGTATCATTGTCGTCATCCTTTTATAGGAAGGTGAAGGCGCTCACCTCGAATAGCGCCAGGTATGGGCGATGCCAACCCAGGAACAACTCATTGCCATGTGGGCAGTAGCCAGCCTTGCCAATCTTGTTTTTCTTTCCTGGTGCATCTCCCCAAACGTCGTAAGGCCTTCCATGTATCGCTGGGGTGTATGTTAGTAAGTGTTGAGCCATGCTGATAGTGGATGTACTCACATGCGATACCGTAGAACGAGGTGGGATTGTTCTGGGAAGTTGTATGAAGTTGTCGCAGCGCCAAGATGTAAAGACTCCATTGGTCTGGCGCGTTGTTCTTCAAGTCTCTCACTTCTCGGCGCACATAGACGTTGCCTGTGAAAACTTAGCGGTGATCAATACACGTGCGGGCTAGCTGAGTACTAACCGTTTTCATCTCGCGACTTCACTCCGGTCACTACGCCCACTGTGGACTGCCGTACCGCGTAAGAGCTCTTCTTTTCCGATACAGGTGTACACGTGACGTATGATATCAAAAGCCACGGTATTAAGTATCGAGCGAGCCACGGGATGAGCATGGTGAGCGACTGTCGCAGCAAACGAAAGGTATATCTGCGGAGAGCCGGTCAGAGGGGAGCAAAGAGACATATATTTGTACATCAGAGCCTGCAGTCCCTGCGTGTAAAACAGACTAGCCACATTGAGGTCATATGCGGTGAGAGTGAGTGACGATCGCGCCCGTCATCCACAGTTGTGATACTAGGTTTAGGAGCCCAAAATGAAAGCAACTGGATGTTGCATAGGGACGCGATACGACAGCAAAGCGTATTGCGGACCAGAGTTGTCGGTCTCCCAGACCTGTGTTGTTGTTGTGATGACAAGAGATGTGGTAGCGAAGACGTGCCCTGAACCAAGGAATTTGCTGGGTGAAATGTGACGCACTCACCTTGTGACGCGATGAACACGAGAAATACAGCACGAGAAGTGTGAGTTGCCCGCTGTTATGGGAGGATATACCGCTAATGCAGCAACGCAGTATGAGAGCAGGCGTGGCAGGTGCGTTGTAAGTTTACCCTCCCGCTGGCGTTCTTCTAGAAGCGGAAAAGAGAGATGCGACGATGACAGTTGGTGACTTAAATTACAGGGCGAAAGCTAGCGATTGAGATAGAAGAGAGCGTGGGATGTTTGAGTCGAAGGTGCATCGACGAAAGAAGCATCGTCAAGGGGTTTGTTGACGTGCCAGAAATGTGCTTTTCTGATCACGACCTTGTCTCTCCCGCACCGGTAGTTATCAAGTCGTAGGAACACAGAATAACATCGCTTCAAGGTTTTCACGAATAGCCGTTGTGTGAAACATCAGCCGGATACATTACCGCAAGCAATCTTACATAGTTTCGACCGCGGTTTCGGAACGCATGCTGGCTGTCAACGCCAAATATGGTTCGCACGACGCATAAGCTTTTCAGCCTAATCCGCAACTCAATATACAGATAAAAGATGGTAGTGCCATTTGTCGGCGTTCGGTGACACCCGCGGATCTCTGCATTCAATGTTGCACGGCGCGTGGAGCAATGCGCAACATGCTGTGTACCCCGCGCGGCTACGTGTCTGGCTTACGGAGATTGCCCGACATGAATCCACCGAAGGAGATGTCGCGAGTAAAGTCTCCACAATCCTAGCTTTTCCGTTAATCTTTCGTGCCGTTTGAGGCTCGACAAAGCACCGACGCGCCTAGCGGATGCTTACGGCGACCGGCGGCGGGGATTAAGGTAAACTGATTCGCATACATGATAGTGGAACGTTGCAAGACTCCGGAAATAGTTGATTGCTGATTTAAATGGTTCCTAATTGAGACGCTAATACAGGTCATTCGTGCCGCTAGCTGTAGCTGACTGCGTTGTGTATCCTCATACAAGTATTCCGCATGGGGCCACATGCGCAAACCGCCTGGCGGTCATCTCGTTCATTACATCGTGTGTATCGTCAAAGTGCCAGTCGAAATGCTGGAAGTTTCCGTTCGAGTGGTTAGATGTCGTTATATCCGAGAAGCGTCTTTGGCAGATCTTTATCCGCGACCGCCCAGGCCCAGGCACGACCTGCCTCGCCACACCATAGGGAAGATGGATCTTCCGATTTCTCAAGCATTCCGTCTTTGGCCATCGACTTGATCTCATGGCCTGTGGTGTACGTCAAGAAGTGTTCGAATTGCTTTCCGTCCAGAGCGAGAGCGTTTCCGGTGATGCCGTGACAGAGACATGGCTCCTTGGTGAGCAGGCCTCTTTCCCAGATGCATTCTCTAGCTTTTGCGACAACCCGATCAATGCGATCTTGAAGTCCCGGGAAGTATTTTCGGATTGAGAGAATGGAGTTGACAACACCCGGTGCTCCGTGACAGACTTCAACGAGCTTGTCACGACCTGGTGGGAGAGATGAAGGGAAGTTGCCGCTCTCGTATTGATAGCTGAGCAAGGCGCCTAGTTCGGCCTCCAGCTTAGACGCCCAGGAAGGGTCGGTGAGTACGATCTGTGTAATGATACCGATTGCGCCATGAACGGCACCCACGTATGCCTTCCCATGCCACTTCCAGGGACGCGGGCTTTGCATGATGTTCTCGATGACCTCATCGGCCGTGTCCTCGATGAGCTCGGTCACGTCCTTGTTGTGAGCGAACGCCCCGCGGACCAAGCGGAGGAGGTACAGATAGCCAGCGCGACCGTATAGCCATTCGTTGGAGGTCTCGTCCTCAAGCATGACTGCAGCATGATCACAGAGCTCCTTTACAGTGTCTGGGTCTTGTGCAGTCACGGCGTACAGGGCAAGCAGAGACATGATGTCGTTGGAGATACCGCATTTCTTCGGAGATGGCGGCGGAAACTCCTTGATATGAGCCTGAGCTTGTTCGATGTAAGCCGCAGACCATGTGTTCAAGGGGTAGTCATCCAGCTTCAGATCCGGGTATATGTTGTGCAGGGCATAGAAGAGGTAGGCTACTGAAATCGGTCCGTAGTATAGACCACCGCCTGGGGGTACATGATGCGGAGGATAGTCGGTAATCAATCGATCCAATGACGCTAGCAGTTGCTTGTGAGGATCTCGTCGTGCCAACGGCGCATCATTCCGAAAATAGCGGGGTATCGAGGGAGGCGGTGCTGCTTGTGTTGCCGAATCTACAGGCGGCGCGCCGTCTTCGGACATGATGATGAGAGTTTATTGAGGCGAGTTGATTCAAATCTCTCGGTGGAAAGCGAACGGGTAAAGTTGGCGCAGATTTAGGCATGCGCGAGTGACGGAAAGGTGTGAGATCGTAGCTGCCCGACTGTGACGTCAGCGGGGCTAGTCGTCGATGATTGGTCAGCTGCCGCAGTCGCAGGCTAGAACGAAAATTGGCAAACATCACACCAGGAACTCCATGTGCTGTGCTAGTGCAATCTCGAAGTTTCTAAGCTACCTGAGCTATGGGGTATCTGATGATGTTGGTGTTATGGTACATCTCCCTCTCGTCTGATGCTGTGATCAGTATTACTACATTGACTCATGACACTCTTCCGTCTACATTCGACGCCTGCGTCTCGTACAGTTACAATATTCATCACATCTCGCTGATTCGATGTATCTCAGCGGCTTCTGTTGTAATGTGTTCATGATGAAAGAAAGGACTAGCCGTGGGCAGCATGGCCTGGCCACGGTATGGGCTCAGCGGGAAGCTCAGAGAGACGTGCCATCGAGTCGTTGCGATGGAGTTCATGCTGACCTATTTCTCGACTGTCTAGCTGAGGTGGGTCTTCTGGTTCCGTGATCGAGTCTGCTCTATAGAGTGCTGCTATTTTCTGCTGGAATTGGGTGGATGCTTTCCCTGAATGCAGTCAGCACTGTGTACCGAAGATCGAAGCGTAACGCGTGGGCTTACTTGATAACTGCGATGTCATATCGTCACCGACTAAAGGAGAAGGATAAGTGGCTGCTTTGTATACCTTCGTCCGCCGTCTCTTTCTTAGGTATAGGAGTATAGAGGCGATCAATGCGCACAAGATGACTGTGCCTAGCACTGCGCCGACCACGGGCGCTACGATTGACGACTGAGCGTGGCCAGCTGATACTGGTGCGTTGATAGACGGTGTCGCTGTGGCTGATGAGCTCGGTGTAACAGTCTTCGACGAGGGCTCTTCTAGGCTGGTAGTAAAACCAGTATTAAGGGATGATTCAGAGGCCGTTGGAGAAGCTGTCGAAGAAGTCGTTGCGGTGATCGAGATCATCAAGACCGATGTAATTGGGGTAGGCGATGATGTATGTGAGGCTACTTGCGGTCAGCTCTTACAACCGCCCAACAAACTGGGTGCACTTACATCGCCCTGGAGTCCGGTCCTTGTCGGCAGGACAGGTACTACCTGGCATGCATGGGTCTATCGTGCAGCAGCCTCGGAATGCGTTGCACTTGTAGAACACGCCTCCCTCCGGGCATGAGCCATCGTCTCTTCCTCGAAGTGCGGGTATCATTGTGTTGGGTTAGATTTCTTGATCGATGAATAATGACGACAGGACGAGAGCGACCAGATATGAAGGTGCGACCACGACCATGATCAAGCCTCATTAGCATGTTTGCATCAAACCATGATCAGACGCAAAGGCAGTGCTGTCGTAGGCCGCCGAGGCGACGCAAACAAAGCGGTGCATCGCAAGGGTGCTCCTTACTGCGCTTCCACGCGGAACGCTCTGCCCGATGCAGCCATGAGGTCAAAGAACTATTGACGCTGCTCTTTGTGTGCCTATAAACGTCGTACGGAAGCTCAACTCATCCTCAGGGGCCGCGTGTGTCGATGTCTAGATGGAATCGTGGGATGACCTCGGATACAGAAGTAGCTAGCCCCCCCGGCGGCCCCGACTTCCCCTTCTCGCGTAAGAACTAATGACACCATCACCAACAACGCCACAAATATTGCGAACGTCGCCCAGCCATCGCATTCCACATGGATTATTGACACTTCTCATATGATGCATCCGGGGAGATTCGTGCACGCGTAATTGCACAAATCTCGGTGGTCTGACCAGGTCATGTCACGCGGCTACGCGTACCGATTCGCAACAGCAGCACGCGACGCCATCTCGGCCCGGCTGTGTGGGCCATAATTGTCGAGAGGAATCTACTACGCGGCAAGATGCAACACTTCGACAGATATTGACAGACCTTTAGATACCGTAGACAAGCTTCTCAGCGCCGACAGGCCGCATCAACGATACAGTGCGGATGCCACGTTTTTCCTCCATACCACCCGCACCAAGTAGCTGGAAGCCATCCTGAACCACGCCCTCTAGACCACCCGGCATCAATCTGATCGGAGCTGGACTCAGCGCGGAATCCATACAAACGTTGAGCTCCGCCTTCGCGAGATCGGACAATGGCTGTCTTTCCGTTGCGTGCGAGGGTTGAGCATGTGCGCTCGACGGAGCTACGCTCAGAGATGCAATCGAATGCATAATGTATGCCAACACTTCCTGTAAGCTCCCTAATCTGCTCTAGCTAATCAAGGTTGTAATAGTCTATAAGAGCGTTATACTTATAAAGCTTTATTTTAAGAAACTTTTATTAAGCTTTACTAGTAATACTATATAATCTAATAGCTTTGCTGCTAAATCTAACACAAAGTTGTGATACCGCAACTTCTACGCGACTTCGACCTTGAGCCCCTCGAACCAGAGAAGGAATGGGAGACGCACAATTACTGGTTCAACAAGCCGACCAAGGTATACACTGAGGTTCAGCGTAGGCAGCCAGAGCGGGTGAAAGTTCCCTGAACAACTCACCCATCGCCAGCTTTGCTGTATTTATTTTCCAGTTGTATCTCAGAACAAACAAATTGCAATTCACTCGGGCTCTTGTGCTGCCTCTGGGAAAAGTTCCGAGCACTTGGACTGGCAGTTGCCTTCGCGATTTTGCCTCGTCCGTGCACTAGCCCTCCACACTTATCAGGTAGTCACTAAGTAATCGAACGTCCCCTCAACAGCTCCCTCGATTGTAGCAACCACGAGAGCTACTACACACCGTCAAGCTTCCTCATGCCCACGACCGCCTTCCTGGCCCTGCCAGCCGAGGTGCGCATCAACATCTACAACCACATCTCGCCAGCCAACACCTCTTTCGCCTCATACTCTGGTCTCCTGCAAACATGTCACCTCATCCGCAAAGAATGGAAGTACGAAGCAAAGAAACACATATCCAAAGAATACACCCAACTCCAAACTTTTATCGCCATCCACAACATACGCATCCTCACGTCCGCCCACGATTCATCAAAGAAATCGAAGATCGTACTCCGCCTCCCACCACTAGACCCCACGACAGGTACCACCAGGCTACCAAATTTCATTCCCTGGCACTGGTCCTGGATTACCACCGTCATCGTCAACTTTAGTAACAAGTGGCCGCGACATTACGGATCGCAACTTGCCATGTACGACCTGTACTGCAACACGCACTACGACCTATGTCGAGATATCCTGGCCCTAGGCGCACATACTATTCCAGAGTACGACAAGCTGTGCGAGACGACAAATCGGTCTAGTATTAGGTATATTAGTCTTCGCTGGTACAATGTTCCCCACGATACGCGGGTTGCATCACCATTTGGTATTATACCCGAGCCTTGGCTTCAGTATGGCGAGGACTTCGAGTATCCCTTGCGTCTATGGGATATGCAGACTCGGCGTGATAGAGAGGGTGGGACTAGCTGTTTCAGTGTGGTCTGGCGGCGCAGGAGCTGGAAAGATGTTCCAAAGTGGTACTGGGTATCTCGTAGGATCTGGCGGTTCTGTTACAAAGTCTTGCGAGCAATCTGTATTGTTGCTGCTGTTTGGAGTGGCTTGTCGGTACTGGAATTGTTGTACAATGAGTATATTCGTGCTTAGTGGTAAGTTCTCCGCGGATGTTGGAGATGAATGTACGGATGTGCAGAATGAGACTGTTCATCATACATTGTGTTCTCCCCCCTTGATGCACACCTGTTCCTTGATATCTCCTCATCTGTTCATACTCTCCGTCCCCTACCATGGTTGTGTCGCTAGCTGCTGTCTTATCTCTTTATTCATCTCTTTTTCCAATCTCTCTATATCCTCCTCCGTCGCCTCTTCCTCATTAGTTTTCGCCGGCCCCCAAGGCTCCAACCCTACACTCCACCAATCCGTCTTGAACATTGCATCCCACCCCTTATTCTCCACTTTTCTCTTCTTAAAGCTCTTCGTTGACCTGCGCCCCCTTCTAGCCAGGCTCGTGGTAAACTCTTCTTTGTGAAGACCTGTATTTGAGGCCAGTCTGTCTAGCTCCTCTGGTGGGGCTGCGCTATTGAACTTTCGCCAGAACACTGTTTTAGAGAAGGTGACGTGTTTGTCCTTGAGCGATACGTACCCGGATGTAGGCGTGGGCTTACTTCGAGGTCCGCGGTTCAGTGCCGATTCCACGCACTCAAGACCCATGCGATGGTTCCGCTTGACCGTTTCTCCAGCCCACATTCTTTCGTCTTTAATCGCATCCCCAATCTCCCGCTTCAGAATTGCAATAAGTTCCAAAAGGAGCTCATACCGCCCCGCGATCAACGGCCAATACCTCTCCGCCGCAGTCCTCCAACCCCTACAGGGATATTTAGATTGGTGTTCACACCTCATCTCTATCCTTCTTATACTACAATGCGCATCGTAAAACTCTGCCACGCAAGCTGCGTCGTCTTTGTAGCCCTTGGAACTATATATGAGATCCCCGAGAGTCTTCAAGATTTCCTTTTGTTGTTTCTTGATGCGTCTCAACGTGGACGACGCGTATTCCGAGGTGCTGTGAGGGAGACGTATGCCTTTACTTTGTTTCCCTATTAACTCTTGCAGCGTTGTGCAGATTTGTATGAGACGTTCTGCTTGATCGCGTGTGATGTTCATGCCGGCGATGCGCGCCTTGGGTGCTTTGGATGCTGTGGGCGCTTTGGATGCTGTGGGCGCTTTGGATGCGTTCGGCGCTGTCTTTGTCTTCGTAAACCAAGACATAAGAAATGTGTGAAAATGGTATAGATAAGAGAGGGATTGTTGGGCGCATTGCGTTATTGCGCGGCTTGGTGTGGTGGGTTGGCGCGGATTCGGTACCCTGGGTGGGGTTTTGATGCGAGCCAGTGAGGAGGAGCGCATTGTGGATGAAAGGGCTGTGGTTTGGTCGATGGGTCGAGGTGCGGCTTGCGTGTGAGCCAGGAGGCGATGTATCACTTGCACGTTGCGAATAATGAGATAATGCAGGGGCGGTGCAAAGCTAGTTCTGTTGCGCATTGTGAAAACGGGCGGGCTATGGATCAGATTCGGTACAGAATGTGGATGATTCGCAACTAGAACAAACGTGAAAATGTCCCGCGTGATCCTTGCACACCGGAATCCCATGTTTAAGTGTAGTAAAACGGGACAGACAAGGTCAATACCGGCACCGTTTGTCGTGATAGGCAGGGTTCGCGGACAACTTGGAGGAAGCTTTCTTTCTCGTGCGGGGCCCAGTGAAGTCTCAATCGTCCTGGGGCGGTGATTCTGTCGATGTCGGGCGCTTCCTCTTCAGGGTCTTATTTTGTGGTGCGTCTGTTGGTACGGCGTCGAGCCAGATCGCCCGCGACATTAGTGGTAGCGGTGGACAACGGTCACAGCGAAGAGTTCCACGTTCTTGTCCTCGGCTCCAACACTTCTCTGGCCTCCCGCCGCAAACTTCGCATACCTTTTCATCGTGTAAACGGGCCACAATGCTGTCTAGCAGCGGTCCTCGTCGAACGCACAGCACATTATACAACGGCCTACGCACACGGCGAGTAGTGACGTCTCTGGTGACCATCTTCTGTTTGTATATAATATTCGCCCAATGTAGCCACCTGTGTTGCTTCGGGTGCTGAACGACTCGGAGAGTAACGTTGACACTGGAGAGACGGGCGCTCCATTCTGCCGCAAGGTCCGCGACGTCTAGATGAGCCCAGCTATGGCTCCCTCGTAATGTGTAGACGGATGGGTAGAGTGAAGCGAACTTAGCAGTATTAACGCTCGTTAGGTGGAAGGATACCAGGCGGAACTCTTGAAGCAGCTCGTCCTGAGAGCTGTTCGCTGATGTCGCACCATCTATCCCCGCGAAGAGAATTAGGACTCGTATAGCCCGACCTGCGAGTTTCTGGACATGACCGATGGCATCCATACACATCCGACGATACCCTCGACAGTCGCCAAGTTGACTGAAAATTGTGAGAGCGGAGGTGACGTGTCCCAAGTTGTATGGAATCCAGATTGGCGTGTATGTGTCCTCATGGAGAACCGTTTCGACGTCCTTCATTGCATGCGGCTCGGGCAGACGGTTGTACAAATGCTCCCAGTATTGATAGAGGGCTTGTGCTCTTTCGTACCACTCAATCGCTGTATCGCTAAACCCGCTGTTCTCTCTGCGATGATTACTCTTCCCGCAAGCCACGAGCACAATATCGTAGACTTCGTTGACGTCGTCTGAGTTGTCTGCGACGTGCACGTCGCTGCAGAAGAGAGCTAGTTCCTCGGGTGTGTTCGGCAAATGGAGAGCGGTGTGTTGTTGAATACAGGCAGGTCAGGGTACTCGGCGCGGTTTGGTAGAGTCGGAACGCCATCTACAATCTGGAAACACTTGTTGTACGCGGGACTTCGCATGGTCCGCCAACTTGGGTCGTAGACAGCTTTGCCGCGTCTTCTTATCCTGTGCTTCAATACCTCCATATGTAAGCCATTCGGCTCGCTTTCGAGGATCGCTTGCACCAATCTGGTGTTCGGTACTGCGCTTGCTTTGGGCCTGATCAGGATGTTTTGATCGTCGTCATCGCCCTCCTCGTCGTCCTCGACATCCTCGCCATTCCAGATTGCGGAGTATCTTGTCGCAATATGGTGATTCATGGGATTGTCCCCTTGTCCGTTTGTCGACGCCACATGGATCTCTTCTACGAATGCAGTGCGCAACGATCTTCCGAGTGCCGTCGCTTTGCTACGTGTCATAGTGGCATACGTGGAAGACACATATCTAGACCACCAAGTGTGTCGGACATGAAGAACGTGGCATACGTAGGGAGCTCGAGCTCGTCGTGACATGGATCGGCCGATGGGAAAGCAGGTGACGGTGGGTCGTGCCTCTGCCTATGCTCGCGTTCGCCTGATAGCGAGAGCATTGGTAGGCTCTGGATACAGCTGGTGTGCTCCGTGGCTACGTACTGAGCAGGCTGGTAAGATGTCGACTGTGCATGACGAGCTAGTGGGCTCTGGGGACCCATCGCGGATTAGCGATGATGGCGCCAATAACCCGAAGCTCATTCCTTCTCGTCCGACTAGAGAACCCCGTCATTGAGCGCTAGGTCGTTAGGGAACAAACAACGACAAGAGCAAGCGGATATGACATGTCAAGCACTAAACTAGCCTACGCTGATGTCAGAGCCGATCTGCTGGCTGTCAAATGTGAATAATACTGGTCGAATTACAACAACGTGATTACATGCCTCTGCGCTCACATCTTCGCCCTATCCCCATGGTCCGCATTCACAAGAACATAACGATACCGTGCATGTCCCTCCTCCATATCAACCACACTCTTATTCGCATCCTTCATATTGCGCTTCTGCACCCAAGGCTTAATCCCCTTGTCAGCCGCAAACTGAAGCATCTCCTCAATCTCCTTGGGACTGCCAATCTGGCTACCCCCAATCTTACATCCTTTGCCGATAAGACCGAACGCAGCGATTTGAGGAAGCTTGTCTTCTGGTGCGCCGACCTGGATGAACGAACCGCCTGTACGGAGAAGTCGGAGATAAGACTCGAGCGGCATGTCTGGAGAGGAGACTGTGCTGATGATGAGGTCGAGGGATCGGCTGTGGTTGCGCGCCCACTTGTCGTCTTCAGAGGTGGCGATGTAATCTGTGGCGCCCATCGCTTTGGCGTCGTCGACCTTGTTTCTCCGTCGGCTTATCGCTACGACTTTCTCGCAGCCGAGTGCTTTGGCGAACAAGACGCCGAAATGGCCTAGACCTCCCAAACCTACGATTCCGACCTTCTTCCCAGGACCTGCGCCGTTGTTCTTCAGCGGCGCATAGACGGTGATGCCGCCGCACATCATAGGCGCTGCTTCTTCGCTCTTCAGCCCAGCGGGTATCTTGATAGCGAAATGCGCTGGAACGCGGACATAGTCTGCATATCCACCCATGCTCCAGTTTCCATCCGGGTACTTCGCATTGTATGTACCCACCATCTTGGGGCAGTGCTGCTCGATGCCCGCGCTACATTCCTCGCAGTCGTCCTTCAAGCAGCTGAAGGCCTGCGCGCCTACGCCCACTCTGTCGCCTAAGCGCAGGTTCTTGACTTTGTCTCCCACACGCACGACGTTTCCGACGATTTCGTGGCCGACGCATACGGGATAGTGGGTTGTGCCCCAGCCAGATCGCAGGGTGTGGATGTCGGTGCCGCAGATGCCGCAATGGGAGACTTTGATGTCGATATCGATGGCGTTGAAGGGCTTAGGCTTGAAGGATGACCATGTCATGTTGCCCTGTGCCGCATT